ATAATGTGAAGGATCCAGAAAGCCCTGCTAACCTCTTCAACTCGGCTCTGGTGGTATTTTCGAAACAACTTTCTCTGTAAATCCTTCACAGAGGTGCCACTCGGTGTCTTCCATGCCGCTGACCCCTCTAGTCCCCCCTGCACGAACTTTGGATGCCCCTTCTGTCTCAGCTGTTGTCGGGGTTGTTTATGCTTTATATCATGCTACTCTGGTGTTTGCATGGTGGATTACAGGATGTTACCAGTTGCCTGATTTAAATGTAGGATTATGCAAGAGCGTGATGAAACAAACACAGTCAAGCATCTCTGTTAAAGAAGAGTTGAACATACAAAAATATGCAAATGTTTGAAGAATACACTTTATGGAAAGTATCTTTATGGAAAGTGTCCAGACTTCGGTGACTGTCTTTGTCAATATGCAGAAGAGTGTGTGTGTGTGTGTGTGTGTGTGTGTGTGTGTTTGTGTGTGTGTGTGCGTGTGCGTGTGCGTGTGCGTGCGTGCGTTTGCTTTTATTGAGCCTTAAAACCAAACACCTTGACTCGTTAAGAGCGAGATCTACAACACATTCCTGCTTTTGAGGAACATAAGAATAAACATCTCACTGCTTTATTCTCCCATTCATCCAAAATACAACAAGCAGACAGAATATTATTAAACAAATCCAACATTTTTAGGAGCGCGTCAGGGTTTATCTCTACAGAGTGTGTCTACTGATCTAATCGTTTTCATCCCTGGAAATATCAGATGCTATCTCGAACAGACCGAGAGCCGCTGTCTTCTCGTCTGACCCATCCCTTTGTGATGGGATATGAGAGGCAGCTTGTGGAAGTCTTATCAAGCTGTCATCCTGTTGATTGCACAGCAATGGTGTTATTCCCCGCCTCCCTGATGGATGATGGACGCTGTGAAGAGCGACGAGGTGAAGACAGATGACGGACTGAGATAGGGCGAATGTAACTTTCCCCCAGCGAGAGGAAAGTGGAGCGGGTGTCTTTGCAGGAGCAGACATCAGGGACTCTGAGGAAGTTAAAAGCCCATGCTGTGGGAAAAGGTACTTATCTGCCTGAGCTGATATGAAGAGGAGAATGGCAGTGGCGAGGTGAGGTGAGGTGAGGACACTGGATGTCGGCGAAGAGACTTGTGAAGTGGCGTCCCGCTGGGAGCCAGGCGACACCAGAATCCTGCCTGAATCAGTCGTGTGAGAGGACATAAATAATTAACGATCAGAAAGCAGAGCAGGGAGGAGACCGTCATGAGAGTGGTCACAGCTGAAGGTAAAACACCGTAACTATCATACAGAGGACGGTCGAATCAAACCTGGTGGATAGAGGCCGCGGATCCCCCCCCCGAGGTTCTGTGATTTATTGGTTGAGTTGTTAAGAGCATGGAGACCAATTCATCAATGGACAGGAAGCAGCAGGAGGCTACGGCTCACTGTACAATGTGAACAGTATTCTGCTGGATCTCTATAGAGGAGATATTTTATGTTCATATTAAGTCTTTTAATTTATGATGTTACGTGAAAAGGTTTTCATGCTCTAACGCTGCAGCTCCTCTTCTCAGCCTCTGTCTGAAACACTTGGTTTTAGCTCCCGTCTCTTTAAGGACCCTCCTCCCTATAAAGCCCACTCTGTTGTGATTGGCCAACCGCTTCCAGGACGTGTCGGAAACTTTCCCTGGCTTTGTTAGGGGGGCGTGTCAGACTAGCCACTAGCTGCGTATCATGCATGATGGTGGCACCCACACACGTGATATTTGTAGCTTCATTTTTGTACAATGGGAACAACAGAGACACGTCTTCCATCTTTGGAGTCAATGGTCCGAACCATGAAGTTTAGCAATGGAGGAATCGAGCGTGAACATATCGGTTCTTTGCCACATTCTCTCTTCTGCCTCCGCGTTTTCTAACCTTGTACGACGTCCCCAGCTTCTCCCCTTCCCTCTGCCAGCTCCAGTAAAGCCAGAGATGTTGTTGGCAGTCTATCAGCTTGAGTTGCTCATCTCCTGGCAGCCCCTCATCCCCCGGGGGTCAAGCTGTAGAGGAGACAAGAGTGAAGGACTGGACCCGTCCTGTCCTGGGCTGCAAGGTCGAGCAGATGGCAGCGGAATAAACAGGTCAGTAGCCTTGGACGGAATTGGCCTAAATAACACGAATTGACCACACGGAGTGTTTGGAAAGAGCAGCTGCTGTTCAATCACTCTGCATCGAGCGTGACGATATAAAACAAGCAGCCTTATCGCAAACAATGGCTCGGTGGAGCTGGAGCGGCAGCGTTAGCTCTAAAACAAAGTGGATGATAAACTTCCTCTGTCGTCCGCGGTGGAAACCACCGTCGGGTGATTCCGCTTTATTCCAGACCAGCTTTAATTATCCTGCAATGGGGCCTGTCATAACCATTACATCATGTAGCAGGGCAAGTGTGGCAATCCCAGGGGTGGCATCACTGGCAGAGCCGGCGAACTCCCATCTGGTCTCGTGGAAGTGAGTGACGGGCTGAACGGAGTCATTTCCTGCTGCTGCGTTTGAGTGTCACAGTTTGAGGGAAAATGACGGCTACATGAACAGGAAGGTTGAAAATCTCTTAACGCGTACTTGATGTTTAATAGTCGCGGAATGAATTCTCATCAACCCACGCTCACCGGCTCATTGTGCCAGGCCCGAGCCGACCCAGCATATTTTACACAGTTTAATCCCGCTCTGTTTTTCCAGTCCTTTCATTCCCTCAGCTGTTGATATGCTCCTCTCCTCCCCGGCACTCATTCTGCCACGCGCAGAGCATTCCTCGCCTTGTTCAAACACTGCCTCCAGAATTCCTGCCGTTGTTAAAATACTCCCCGATTCTTTCTTTCTCCTTTTTTTTTAATTTGCCCTCCGAGAAGCCGCCACCTCTGGAATGCACTTCTCCAAATGTACGTGAGGAGGAGAGAACGATGCCTTGTTTGCAGCTTTGTTGTCGTTGCGACTCAAGGGCGGAAAAATTGCTTTTTTGAGGAGAAATTGATTGCAACGCAGCGTTGAAGTGGCTTGTGTCGACTTGATTACTGATTTTTCTGTTATAAGACACATAACAAATTCAAATGACTGAGTTGCAGACCCGTTGCAACCACCGCAGACACTGAGGTCATGGCTGTGGTATTATTCTGGGAATTTTAAAAATCAGGGGGATATTTTACAATTTGCTGTTACAGTTAAATCGTTATTATTCCTATTTTTTAAGAAATTGATTGTTGATTGAAATTGATCTTAGCATGTAAGGGTATATACAGTTTGGCTTCTCCCGCTTCGTGTTTAAGGTTCAGGCTTGAGAGTGAACTCTCAGCAAGAAGGAAATTAAAACTATTTCCCAAACTGTTCTTTAACTTTATAAATGCACCTTTTTGCTGCGTCATTAATCACGTACCAGTATATCTGTAAGAGACTCAGATTAGATTTTTATTGGCCAACCGATAAAAAGAATATATTGGAATATAAAATTGTTGAAAATATCAAGAAACACAAAGACAGTGATTTGAAAAATAAATCCTGCAGCTGCTTCTTTGAGTTATTTGTGATCCAGGTTTCTGTTGTTTTGTTGCGTAATCCTGAAAACACAGAAAAACTAGGCAGAATAAATGAGACCTGATGGTAATGACACGCTGATCGTTCCTCTGTGTTGGAAACAAGTGCACTTATCTCAACTCATTATTCGTTTGTTATGAGAAAAACACGATTTGACGGCTGCAGGAGGATTAACGTGCTCTCACACATGACTCGTGGAATAGCTGTTATCATCTCCACAATCATGGCGGTAAAGCAGCAAACTATCATTAAATGAAAACGAGCTCGGCGACTGAGTGACGTCACAAAGCCGACTGAGAGTTTTAAACACGTGCACCCTGGGAAGAAAAAGAACCCTTTTTGTTTGAAGTTGGATTAAACTCCCTCGTCATTTGTCCCCGTTCCTCCAGTTTGAGATAAACACGGGGATTTTCCTTTCTAGAGCCTTTTCTTCTTGCACATGACAAAACCCTCACAGCTGACTGAATCAACGCTGTTTTAGGGGAATGAAAAATGCGCACTTGAAATCTCTTTACCGTTACTAAGGAGACGGAGAACTACTCGCAGCCCTTGAAAGTGTTTAATAAAAGACACAAACGTTTCAATTAGCAAATAAATAGTTCATCCAAGGATTTAAAAAAATAATATCAATGACATTATGTTTTCATGGTCTTTGAATCGACCTTTGCGGGTCCTTGACCCCCCAGAGAAATCTGGACAACATCAATAACGCTGGTGTTGTTCCACTTTCAAGGAGAAATAAAAGATGGAGGAGTCTGGAAACAAGTGATTAAGTTTAAAGTTGGTTTGTGTCTGGAGGGAAAGGTCTCAAAGAAGAGGAAGATTTTCTGGTGTTAAAACCCTCGTTACTTCTGCTCCGCTGCCATTTCTCTGCCTCTCCTCTTTTCTTTTCTTCAATGGAAAGCTGGATTTGGGGAAAACCATCTCCTCCTCCTCCTCCTCTTCTTCCTCCTCCTCCTCATCCAGCCTTCACATCCGGGTCAGTTGGGTTGGTTGGAGCTGGATGCTGCCTTCAAGTACCCCTGGTAAAACTGTGTACTTTGTAAAGTTTGGGATCTGAAAACTTCTCCTTGATGCATTTGAACTCTGTTCCTCAATCCTTGAGTTTTATAGCTTTTTTATATGAACTTCTATTGTTTTTTTTAAAATTGACGCCTGACAAATTAACGCTTGATTGATGAAACTATTTTAGTATCCTAGAAAATGTTTCATTCAAACTATAAAATAGACAATTTTGTACTGATTACTTTATTTGTTTAGTTAATTATCAGAAATATTTGTAAGAAAACCTCCCGCTGCGTTGTGCACGTGTGAAAGTTAATCTCTGGGTAAACTCCGCAGCCAGTTCTCCAGATTTCACCGGGAGGTCGTGTCTGAAAACGGCTTGTGGTGGGCCAGGTGGGGGAAAGTCCGGAGAATCATGCACCTCCTCTGGAGAAACTCCTGATGATCTCCGGAGTTCACTGTCAGCTCAGTGTGTCCGTCACTGCTTTGTTTTGGACGTTGACTGTGTGAATTCCCACATGAGAGGCAGCACGTGAAGGCACCACAAGTTGAGCAGCTCTCAGTTATCGCGGACTGATGATCCAGCTGCTGTGCGCGCGCGCGTGTGTATCTATATGTGTGTGTGTGTGTGTGAGAAAGTGTATGTGATAGTGTGTGCGCGCGCTGACATGGAAACAACTGTGGTTCCCTGTTGAAACCGGACACATTCCGGTGTTTCACGGCGGCGGCACCGGGGGGAACCGCGCAACGCAGCGACCGAAGAAAACTTCTCCCACCGCCGCACTCATGTGATCGGAGCCATGTCCAAGAGCCTGAAGAGGAGGAAGAACCACTGGACCAGCAAAGTCCACGAGAGCGTCCTCTGCAGGGACGAGCAGGGGCGGCTGGGGCTGGAGCTGCAGGGCGGCGCGGAGCATGGACTCTTCCCCGTCGTCGGCGAGCTCCCCCCGGGCAGCGCGGCGTGCCACAGCGGCAAACTGCTCCAGGACGAGCTGCTGCTGGAAGTCAACGACACCCCGGTGGCGGGACTCACCACCAGGGACGTGCACGCTGTGGTCAAACACAGCAAAGACCCGGTGCGACTCAAGTGCGTCAAACAAGGTGAGACCCCCGCGGGCAACTTTCCCCGCGTGTCCCTTACTCCTCGTCCCCGGCAGTTTCCTCCGGTGTCCGGGGAAAAGCGTCGGTTTCTCCGAGGAGCTGTTCGTGTTTTGACAGCGGAGCTTTTGTCTCGATGAGAAACCCGCACACGCACAGAACTTTTCTCCTGCTTTGGTTTTGTCGTTTCCATGATTTCCACTGAGGTTCGTTCACGTTGACGCACATTCTTTGCTCGTGTCGTGTCTGTGTTGTGTAGTTTGGGCTCTTGAGGGGGTGTGTTACAGTTTTTTCCAGTGTGAAAGATGCAAAACACACATTTCCCCACGATAATATCGTGTACAATACTCACAAACAGACGAATAGTACATGAAAGTATGCACCGTGCAACATGCATGTTGTGTATGTTCACATTGTAATGTTTATAGACCCGAAGCAATCCATCAATTCTAGTTTTATAAAGTAAAAAGTTTTCATGATGGTAAACTGTATATTTTGGGACTTGGGACTAGAACCAGTGATTAATTCAGATAATAATCTTTATTGAAAATGAGTTAAGTGATAGTAAACTGTTAACTTTGGGACTGTTGATAAGTTAACACATGGAGCGATCATTCATGGACCCAGTGTTTAATTCAGAAATTCAGTCAATGCACGGACCTCGTACATTTATATAACTTCTCTTGGTCTGAAATGAACATTATTCACACTGTTAGTGTTGGAGGAAGTTTATTAACCCTTAGTTTGTTGTGCCTGTTGCTATGTTGTGTAGTTTTTTCTTTTGAGGGCGTGTGTTACATTTGAGGCAGTCAGAAAATACACATTCCTGTGTATAAATCTGGCTTCAATACTCTCAGATTCCTACAAACCAATAATACAATTTATTGTAGTAAAGAAAATCCTGTTTCTTGATGTAAAGATTACAGAATATCTAAGTACCTTTAATACAACTGACATACACGTTGGATTAGATTGGATTGTACTTTATTGTGAAGCTCCTGAAGTCTCTCTCTCTCATGTTTTATATATTTTAATGTATATAGATCTAAAGCAACTGATATTAAGGTGATTGATAAAAAAGAAAATATATATTTTACAGTTACAGTCTGATGTTGGATACATTTTCATAGTAGAGGTGACTTGAGGTAACAAGTTTTTTTCCCTGAAGGAAGTAGAAAATTGTTTTACATTTTCAGTTTCACCTTTGAACCACACACACACAAACACACTCTTGTGTACATATATTTTTTTTAAAGCAGGCATTTAAATTTCGCAATATTTATTATCCAATTTGTGCTACATTGAGTGGACTAAATTGGATTTGGAAAGGATATTGTATAAATATTAGAGCAAATCCCAGACTCCCTATTTCAACATTATAGTGGTGTCACGGGAAATGAAAAATACCATAAAATATGATAAGGTCACGTTAACTCACCACTGATGCCGCGGGCTGCAGCAGAAGTCCCTTCAGGAGGATTACTGGGGGGGGGGGGTGCGTTCAAGCAGGAAGTACAGTGCTGGAGTGGATGCTTTTTTTTTGTAGGCACATGAAACTGGAACAACTCTGATTTCGCGTTTCCAGCAGAATTCATGTAAATTAGCCGAACTTGCACCAACTCCAAACTCCATCTAATGCTTGTCAACTTTGTCCAGTGGTCGTAAATCTCTTAAGTCACGGACACACTCCTCTGGTCGTCCGGGGCTTTGATCCTCGCGGCTAATGACACTGGCCGTCTTGCATTGTGAGCTGAGCGGAGGATCTGCGGCCTCTCGTTTGGGGGTCGAAAAATCAGCCTGTAAGAGGCTTTGGATCAAAGTCTTAACCCGTGTGTTTGTATGTGTGTGACGGTGTGGGGGTGAGATTCAGCGTCGCACCAGGGATTTATTCAAAACTGCGGCCAAACCTCTATCAATCTAACGTGTTACGATAGTTTCATGAAATATTCATATCCCACAGTGATTGATATTCTCCCGTTGCTCTGCTTGTGTTTGTTTGATTGGCTGTTTACAGCGTCAAGTTGTTTTTGGATATGATTGATGTGGATATTAAGTAAATATTATGAAGCAGAAACACACATTCGCAGTGTCCTTACAGCAGCGTGCTCAACAACAGATATTTTTCTCCTCTCAGTGAAGGCACATTAAAACCCTGTGCACCACAGTTGTCTGTGCCAGCAGCTTATTACAACCCTCACTTAGGTTTTATTGTGAGGTGACCTCTAGCAGCTGTAGAAATTATGACGGGAGCGAAGGAGGAAGTCGAGTGAGGCGGCACAAAGAGCGACAACGTCCTTGTTAGGAGGAGGTTGGGGTGTATGGACGGACAAGTCTTTCAGAGACGCTGCTCGTCCCATTAGACGTTATCAGACAATATCGTCTCTTTTATTTGAGAAAGGACTTATTCCATGAAGCTTCTGGAGAAACAACGAGACTCATTACATGTCTGAAAGCAGCTGGAGATTTAGCGCGTGCGCCTCTGCAAGGGCACCACGTCACGAGACGCTCCTCTGTAACAGAGGTTAGGGATGTGAAAGGGTTGTTGAGGATAAAGGACTTTGCACATTAAGACGATGCACATCCACTTGCCAACTTTAGTCAGAAATGTGTTCCTTGTTTCCTGCCTGATGTGGAACCGCAGAGCGATTCTGAGAACTCTCGCAATCGTCCACATGACAGAACGATTACCTAGTGTCACTGACTAGTTGACATAGAAACATCCACAATGCTGGAGGACCACAGCATAACTGGGTGCTGTCATGTTGTAGCAGTTACTGAAGACTTCCTGTCAGGCTTACAATCAAAGCTATACAACATATCGGAAAGCTTTCACTGTTGGGAAACTTGAATGAACCTTTTCAGTCTATTTTTAATACATTTCATCAGCTTTTCTTCTTTGTCCTTGTGTCTGACATTGATTTCCCACGCAGTCTTTTAGATGATCAACAAATCACTTTGGCAGGAGGCCTTAGATTTAAATACCCACTGTCTCTTGCTAGAACTGTTCACGCCTGTAAGCAGAAAATTGTAATTTTCTCTTGCCGTAGTTGATGAACCATGAAAATTTGCTGCATTTATTTGCACAAATATGATTCAGGAGTGAATAACCAGTCATAATGATGGGGTGATGGTGTTTTCAGTTCTGTGAGCTGTTTTGTTGGCGTTTAGATTAGATGAAGGTTCTGGTCAAACTGGGCTGTAAGCAAAAGTTTATGTTCACAGTTAATAGCTGCTTGGTGAGTGTCAAATTGATCCACGGTTACTTGAAGAAAAATGTCTTCAACTCTTAACTTCCCATCTGAGGACGTGACGCTCACTGAAAAAAACACTTGAGGAATATGAGGCACGATACTCGGTCGCAGTGGATAATAAGACGTCACAAAATGGGCTTCATTTCCCCAGGAAGAGGGTCACTGACCATCGAACGTGCGTGGTTGATCTCCGCAGGTTGCTCATGGCCTTTCTGAATAATGCATCACTTTCTCGTTTGCAGTGATCTGCTGCTTCACTAATGTTACAACTTTTAAAAGAGCTGTCACTTGCTCTCAGGATATCTCGTCTGGTTTGCCAACTTTCATTATGGTCTTCTCTGCAATAGAAAAAACTGTAAAAAAAAAAAAAAAAAAAAACCCAGATCATGATTCACACTTTCATTTCTATTAAAGTCATCAGGACTCATGTTTATGCATATATGCACTTCATTTCCCCATGTGCAGTAATATGACTTTAATTTTTCATGTCATCTGAAAACCTAGGGCACCATTCCCATTTTAATGTGCACACACACACACACACACAATATTAGGATTTTTATTCGTCTCTGAGGTGAGGATCAGATTAGATTGCCAGCAGCAATCAGGCCTGCCCTGTAGGACGTAATTAGGATCGCCACAAAACAATGATGGGTCTGTAGGAGAACATAGGGCGCAGTGACACAGACGACCCTTCATTAGATGAAGACATTGTGTACAATGTAAGTATGGAAGTGAGACTAGCTCCTGTGGCTCCTGTAGAGTTGATGACATGTGAAGGTCAAAGTTGTCACATTTTGTACGTGCTTTGAAATAGACTTTTACTTGATGATATTTTCATGTGCTCCCTTTAGAGTTGTGCTTGTGTTCGTCCTCCAGCGCAGCCGCAACATCGCAATTAAGCCCTTGAACAGTGGGGCAGTATTTCAAATTGCAAAGCAAGGTCGGCAGCAAATTCTGCGCCAATGACAAAACAAGGGGGGGGGGGGGGGGGGGAATCATTATGTTTGTAATATCAACGTAACAGCAGTGGTCTCTGGTACTGGTGAAATGATGAAATGTGATCCACAACGTCCAGTCAAGGCCAAAACACTGCACAGGAGTTTTGTGGAACTCACACACAGGATTTTACAACTGTGGTGGCAGTACTTTCACCTTTTCTAGTGAAGTGCATTGTGCTTGTGTGTATTTGGTTGGCCAGTGCACTGCTGGACGATGAGGCACAGGGTTGCGGGTTCAACATTTTTCTTTATTGACGACTGTGCTTGGTTTGCCAGAGCTCCCCGTCTTTGCACTGCATCAAAAACTGACTCCGTTGAAATGACAGACAGGGCAGCGCCGGGTAATCTGATGAAGTAAGACACCCGCATGTTTCTCCAACTCCAGACTGAACAATAGATTATAGAATAATGGAATAGAGTTTTTTAATACACTGTGTGTCGGAGGTATCACCATCGTATTGACGTTTGGTAAAAATAAAATGTTTTCAACAAAGCTTCCTGTGCCAGCGAAGGATGATGCAACAGTTATCTGCCTGTGAGTGGATACCATATAATCCCCCAGGTATACGTAAAGCTGCGAGATAGCATGTGAACAATACGAAGCCGCTTGCAAAATGGTAGAGAAGCATCACCCGTGTTAGAAATCCGTTCTCTTGTCACTCAGTCGTACCTTTTATAATCTGTAATTCATAAACACTGCTGCCAAAACATCGAGATAAATAGCTGTACATCTCACTCCCTGCTCCTTCCCCTGCATCTCTCACACACACACACACACACACACACACACACACACAGTGTAATGCCCCAGTTCAGTTTTATATTTCAGCTC